GATATATATATATATATATATTATATATATATATATATATATATATATAGATATATATATATATATATATATATATATATATATATATATATATATAGCAAAGTTATATTTAAAGTTCCTCTTATTTATTAATACAGATTGAAGGGTTATAAGCCACGGTTATAACGGAACGGAATATGGATTCAATAGATCGTCGAGAGAAGCTTCGATCTATTTCAAAATTTAATCAGGGTTTTTTGATATTAAATTTTATTTTTACCCAGTGTTAACTAGGGTTATTAAACCTCAAAGTTTGTTTATTACTGGTTAGTAGATAAATACGCTTTGGTACACCAAACGGAATATTAATTAAATTCTGACGATCTTAGTTTATACTTGGTAGGTAATCAGATACAAAGACGTAGATTATAGACGCAATAAATATTACAAACCCCAAGGAAGGAAAAACACTGGATGACTGAAGAAACTGACTTTTAATGAAGAAAAATTAAAAACAATGCTTTAAATCCGACATAAACTGAAAACATGATAGCAAATGTATCAAGTAGAAGGTACAAAAATAATCATATTTTAGAGATATGCAAACAACTACAAGAACACTTAACTTACTTAACTAAAGAGTTCAAACCACAAACGCAGATAATTAAAGATAACTTGATCGAAATGACGAAAAAGAACCACATATTTTAAAATTGGAAATAGAAACCGCAATAAAAAAATTTAAAACTGGAAAATCTCAAGAAGACGGAATTACGACAGAAGCACTTAATGAAACGGAAGACAAAGAAACTGAATTAAATTACTTCATTTTCAATTTCTAAAGCAATATCGCGATAAAACCAGTGCAACTGTTGACACGACTAACTTCAGCACAGTTACAAAAAAAATTAAAGATAAATTTGCTGGCAAATTTAAACAATTCAAAACCAACAAAACTGCTTTAGCATTCATAGTAAATCCGCTCAACACAAATAGTAACGAAATTCACGTTGAGCCATTTGGATATCATACTGGATCTTTAGAAATTCAATTGATCGATTTAAAAAGTTAAGCTTTGTGGAGTGGAAAATTTACCGAATTGAAAAGCAAGTTGGAAGAGTTGGAAGTCCAGAAATGTATGTACGTAGCGCAAAAAAAAGTAGACAGCTTTGAAAGAAATGCCGTGAATTGAGGGACTTATATTAGACGCATGGAATAGTCTTCCAGATTGCTACAGTGAGGTGAAGAAGTAGGCATTTATACAACTAACTATCTTCGGATCGACATATTCTTGCGAGTTAGCGTTCTCTTGCATGAATATAATTAAAAGTAAACTAAGAAGCCAACTAACAAATGAAAATTTAGAGTTGTGTTTAAAACTCAAAACAAGTTATGAGCCAGATTTATCCAAACTTTCTAAAACCATGCAAAGTCAACACTCACATTGTGATTATTTACTCAACTGTTTGTTATTGAAGTGGAAGTTAGTGTTATAAATGAATATTTAGTTGTTTTAATTTTTTATTTCAATACATGAAATATATGAAAATATATATATTAGGGTGGGTCAAAAAAATATTTTTTTTTATTTGTCAGTTCTAATAGTGATAAAATTTGGAAACTATTGGATATCATTATCTGCCTCCGGAGCGACGTTCAATATTCATAAAAATGGGAAAAACAGTGTACTAATAAAAAAGTAAGAGAAAAAAATGTTTGTACTATCCGTCAGTTCTAATAGTGATAAAACGATGGTACCTGTTGTTTTATAATCTTCTATAAAATTTGGAAACAACTGGATATCATTATCTGCCTCCGGAGCGACGTTCAATATTCAAAAAATTGGGAAAAACAGTGTACTAATAAAAAAGTGAGAGAAAAAAATGTTGTATATCCATCGTCGTCTTGAAAGTAAGACAGCATTTGCTTTGTGTTCGGTCGTCAATGCAGTCAGTGAGTTAGTGTAGCTGCTGCTTATCAGAGGAGTCGTTTTTTTATGTATATCTGTTTTCGTTTTCGCTGAAATGGAACGTACTTGAAAAGCGTTAGTAAGTCCGTTGTTTGGTGCAATCGGTGAGATGAAAGACAATATGCTTTCTACTTATGAAGACGTGATGAAATTTTACTACTGGACAAGACATCAACTGAAATCGAAAAAAGGTACTAAAAAAGAGCCAGTTTTTTGTGAAATAGCAGACATTGTGACTATAAAAATTTGAGAAAGATGGGCAAAAACAAATATTCCAATTGTTTCAAATACAAGAGTAACACAAATATTAAAAACGTATAACTTAAAGTGCCAGAACATACTTAAATCACATCCTAATGTTCCAGCGAAAAAGTTAGAAGATTTTCGTCACAACAGCAAAGTTCTATTTGATATTTCGTGCTGTAAATGCAAGGAACTCAATAATTGTACCTGTTCTAGAGACACAAAAGTACCATTAAAAGAGTTGAACTTTTTAATCGATCAACGTACTACACGAAATATGATTATTGGAAACTTGGATATCGTTGCTACAAAACAAATGCAAAAAACTGTGAAAAGAAAAGCGACAAATGAAAAAGCCTTGTCTAAAGAGAAAAAAAGCATATATGAGCCTGGAACTTCCTACCAGTCTACACTCGATGTTTCAACGTCATCTTCAGATGAATCTGTGTGTTCTGATTTTAAACCCACTTCTGTAAATATTGCGACACCATTAAAATTATTTAAGAAAAAAACTGCAAAAACTATTCATTATTTTACATTATCCAAAACTTGTGACCGATATGGGGTGTCTGATAGGGTAGCGGCAGCCATTGCTTCAGCAGTTTTGCATGACACCAAATCTAATGTGCCAGTGATTGATAAGAGCAAGTTACGAAGGGAAAGAAAGAAAACTAGAAAAAATCTTATATCGCAGGAGAAAATTTCACAAGTACATGCGCTATACTTCGATGGACGAAAAGATAAAACGTATGTAATCAGAAAACAAGGAGGCAAAAACTACCTAGACGTTATTCAAGAGGAGCATATTTCGCTTATAAAAGAACCAGATTCCGAGTTCTTGGGTTATATTGTTCCATCTTCTGGTACGTCCAAAGCAATAGAAAATTCGTTAGCTAATTATTTTCGAATGGAGGGAATGTCTCTTGACGATTTAATAGCTGTTGGTTGTGATGGAACAAACGTTAACACTGGAAAAAATGGTGGCATTGTACGTTTACTTGAAACGCGGTTAAATAAACCCCTACAGTGGATAATTTGTTTGTTGCATATGAACGAGTTGCCACTTCGACATTTGTTTCAATTTATTGACGGCACTACAGCGGGACCACAGACTTTTTCAGGTACAATAGGGAAGGCTTTAGAAACTTGTGCAAAAAATCCTATTGTTGAATTTCAAAAAATTAGTGGTAATTTACCCTCAGTAACAGTGAAAGATTTAAGTACTGATCGATTATATCTACATAGAATTGTGTCTGCGGCTTATGACTGGAGAATTTCCGGAACACTTGGCCAATAAATCACCAGGAAAAATGTCCCATGCAAGATGGTTGACTCGTGCTAATCGCATTCTTCGTCTATATGCTTCGACAAAGGTTCCTTTAAAAGACCTAGTTATTTTAGCCACTTATATTGTGAAAGTTTATGCTCCAACTTGGTTTCGTATTAAGACTCATCCCACATGTAAAGATGGAGCACGACACTTATGGGCCTTAATTTCAATGTCAAGATACCTCTCACCTGAACTGAAAGCCATAATTGATCCTGTGATACAAAGAAATAGTTATTTCGCGCATCCGGAAAATTTATTATTGGCAATGTTAACTGATCATAAAAAGCATATTAGGGAACTAGCTGCACGTCGTATTTTGAAGACTCGTAAAGTAAAACTTAACATAATCAGGTTATTCGAAGTTCCAACTATAAACTTTGATGCACAATGTTATTATAATCTAATTGACTGGCAACAAGAAATACCTGAACCCCCACTACTAAGAAAAGTATCTGATGAAAGTCTTAATTGCTTCATTGCAAAAGCAGGGGAAAGTGAATTGTCGTTTTTACGTCTACCTTGCCACACTCAAGCAGTAGAGAGAGTTGTGAAGACTGTAACAGAAGCATCCACTACGTTGTGTACAAAATCGGAACGAGAAGGCTTAATTAAGGCGAAGTTGGAGTCTCGCAGAGTAATGCCGCAGTTTGATAGCAAAAAGGATTTTGCTACTACTTAGTTATAGTATCACTTTGAATATCTGTCTTTTTTTGTATTAATACACACATTTTTTTGAAATTTTGGTTTTAATTGTTTACTCCGTTTTTGTTAATATTATGAAATTTTAATGTCAAACCGGAGGCAGAAGATAATCGAACAACTAAAAACTTTTAAAGATGAGTTTTAGATACAACACCGTGCCATTTTAACACTATTAGAAGTTGATAACTTTCACATATTTTTTTACGCGTTTACGATAAATGAATGATTTTCCACATAATTCTGATATTTCAAGGTCAATCCGGAGGCAGAAGATAATTTTCAATTAAAATAAATTTTTCACTGTCAAATTAGCATTACATTTAGCACTCTTTGATAAGTATTACAAAACAATATTGCACACATTTTTTTTCCCATATACAAGTGACCCACCCTAATATATATGTGAAAAACACTATATACCTACATATGAATAAATAAATTAATTTTTTTATCAAAGAACTTTATTTATACGAGTACTATTGATAAAAAAATTTTTGGCTCTTTAAAGACTTTAAAATTTTGTAAATTTTAATTTTTGGCTCTTCGGACTTCAAAGGTTGCCGACCCCTGGTTTGGGGTAAACATAAACTTTTTTTATGGATGTACGACAACATAAAAATTTAATATTGGAAAAACAACAAAAAACATTATAGACTACGAAAAACCGTGTTTTAAAACAATCTCCCAAATACCAACAATTTGTATTATATTTTTATAAAATTTAGCATGAGGATAGAAGAGGAGTTAATTTTTTTTTAAAAGGACAAAAATTGTATTGCCAAACAAGAATTTATTGTAAAAACAATTATTTTGCTAATATATATTCCTTAAAACGATTTCTTGCTTAAAAATATACAGTATAAATAATAATATTAATGAAATATTCAGTATTCATTAACCTATTTCAAAACATCATTACGTGTACGTAAAGTGAATTCGTATGCGGGTTTTCCAGCTTCAATTACCCAAATTGATCCTGTTTTTGAATTTTCTAGGAGCTTTATTACTTCTGTGGAAACATGTTCGGGCCTAAAAAATTAAAAATGCAAATAAGTTTATTGTACCCTTCAAAATGTTTGAAAAATGTTTAATATTAATTTTGTGAGGGTGCTGAATTTGCCCTTCGTCGGGTGGCGGAAATCAGAACGCCTCCCACATATGATTATAGTCTAAAATCCCTTTGCAGGATTACTACATTCATAACGTAGTTAATCAATCTCACATTTTTACATACATTTAAAATTAGGAGAATACATTGGTACACAAGCCTACAATGTTTTTGGTGCCAAACTGTTTAGAGCTGATTTTGGGTAAATTTTTGGTGCTAATTCCGAATATGGCTTTCGTTTTGCCCTATAAGCTCTAGTTTTTAAGATAACGTAGGTCTTGCCAGGTTTTATGCATTAAAGTATGAATATGCTGATATGGATATACTAAATTGAAATAAAAATCATACAATTAGAAAATACGTATATTTTAATCTATTTAACTACAATAAAGCCCTTTATACAATGAAACAGATATACAATTAGTTTTGAGTTAAACTAACTAAATAGAAAAAAAAACTTTACTTGACGTAACGAAAGCTTCGCTTGCGTGATTTCATGGATTTCATAGATTTAAACAGTCTGTCTTCAAACTCCAGCAAAAATCTGCCATCATATGAGTATCCCATCTTCCTTGATAGCGGTCCTCCATTTTTATGTCTTGGTAAAATCTCTTACTTTGCTCCTCACTTGTGTCACTTGTTTTTAGGGAAACGGTCCAGGTGACTGTGAAGATAGTGGACTTTGATGCTCATATTACATCCAAGTGATTGAAAGTTATTTAGCAAATTGTTTACCAGCTCATCATAGTTTTCACTTTTGTGATTTTCCAGACAATTTTTGATATTGTCCACAAATGAAAGCCAAGCTTTTTTCTCTACCTGATTCATTGACCCCACAAAAGCCTGATCCTTTGTAAGAAGTCTAATCTGTGGTCCATCAACGATTCCAGCTTTAAGTTTTTCCATACTTTTCGGATGCAGCTTCATTCTTATTTAGGCAAAGCATGGTCCATAAGAATCAAGTGCCTTAACGAATTGCTTCATTAGGCCTAGCTTAATATGGAGGGGTGGTAAGTTTATTTTTCTGGTTCGACTAAAGACTGGGCAATAATGTTCTTTTGTCCAAATATTAAGTTTTTTCTCTTAGGCCACTCTTTTTTATCCCAGTGGTTTTTTTCAGTACCTACTATCCCACGGGCACAAGAAGGAAGGATATTTTGTGTAGCTGCTTTGCTGCCCAAAAGAAAATCTACACAAATTTACATTTTATATTCTATAAAACTAAAGCTATTGTAGCATATTCTTCTTTATTCACGGTTGAATAAGCAATTGGTATTGGCCCAAACTTGTTTCCATTGTAAAGCGGAACACATTTTAAACTGCGCTTGGAGCTATCAATAAACAAACACCATTCATTTACATCCAAGTGTGGAATAATATATAAATCTTATACATCGTAGTATGAAATATAAAATCGCATAATACAGTGAGAACAACAAATAATGAGGAGTAAGTTCAATTAACAATGTATATTCCTTGGAATATTTCAATGTATAATTCTTCAATATCTCAAATATTAAAACTAGGTACTAATTTTGTAATGTGCTATATCCATAAAACTAGAGCTGATACAAAAAAACGGAATCCATATTTCAATTTATTGGTCCTAATATAGTAAAAATCAGCTTAAAGATTCAATGCATCAAAACAAAAATTTTTTTGTAGGCCTGTGTAATAGTTTGCCAGTCAAAAAGTTGCTGCAAGTAGTTTTAATTCAATTAAAATTAATTACTTTAAAAAAATTGTTATGTTTATTTATCTACTATTAAAAATACGCTGCTGATAACGTATATGAATGTTGTTTTTTATATCAAATTAAAGATCTTTTTTTTTTTCTTATATGTATTAACGATATAAGGTTGCCTTACAAAGATAACGACATTGTTTTGTTGACCATAGAAATTAAGATTTTTTGCAACCCAGCTTTGGAGTATATTTATTATAATCCTCTAAAACTATTTTTTGGGTTATTTTTTAGCCTTAATAGGGCAATCCAACACATAACCTCAAACCGAACTGTCAAAAGGTCTGGAGGGCAAACAATGGATTGAATAACATTGTGATTTACAGTAATAGACAAATATTTAATTGTAGTTATCCAAATATAATTAGTAGATGACCTAATAATTAATAAAAAGCAATTTTCTTTAATACAATTCTAATTCACATTGATTACATGAAAATATTTATAATTTAATGAGGTAAGTTGAAAAGTTCATAATAGTATAGTTAAGTCCTTTAACAACCACAATTATTGTCAATATATCCAATGATTGATAATGATAAGAATGTACTTTTATATATTAGCATATTCGGCATATCGCTAATATTTCTTCTCAGTTATAGATTTAGCTTCATTTAAACATTTTAGTGTTAACATAAAATGAGCTGCTGAAATTAAAATAACATATTTTTATCAATAAAATTTTAACATTTTTGAACTAAGTGCGACTCAAAATATTTTTTACAATTTAGTAAAGACATTTACACCTTTTTAATTGATAAGAAACCTAACTGTTTATTAATTTGATGAATTTCAATAACTTGAAATTATGATGTAGCAAGCAGATATCTAGAGAAATTTAAACTAATCAACAACATAGATCCATATACTATTTCAGAAATTGAATTAAGTTACAATCCAAATGATTTTCCCCCAACAAGTAGCATAGATGTAGTGAGCTATTTAGTGTTGAGCACCAGTTTTTACACACAACGTCAAATAAAGCTTACAAAAGCCTGCAAGCATACAAATACTTTGAAGCAGGTTTTGTGAGTAATTGTGGGTCAAAAGTTGTAAATGACAAGTGACATTAGGGAAAGTGAGTATAGCATTTGAGGAGCAAATGTTTTTTGCTAGTTGTTACAATATGTTAACTTGTTCTTTTATTGTTACAGATTAAACATTCACAAAAAATGAACGAGCTACCATTACAAGCATGGGTTAGGTGTAACCAAGATGGAAGTGTAGAAACAGAACATTGTACATGAATGGCAGGTGCAGAAGTGTATAGCAATGTTGGTGTGATATTGTATGCACTACAATATATAGCTGCATCAAAAGATAATATATCATGTACAGATGTGAGGTCCCTCTGAAATGTGCCCAAAACTGCAAAGGTTGAATGTAAACCAATTAGATGTATTGATTTTGGCAAAATATTTTCTGGATCATGAATTCCCTCAGAAGTGCTTTGCATGAGTGATGACCATATTGTAGTTTTTGACTGACATCGAAAAAGCTGGAAGTTCATCCGTTTTAAGCAAAGTGACAGAACCATTTGCTGAACGAATGGCTGAGTCATTAAGAAGAATGTGGATATCACCAATTAACCCATTTTCTTTGTTATATAATTTTATACACATACATTCAGTTAATTAAAGTTGTTGATAACTTGGTTATAAGTTCGGATGAAAGTGAATGTATAACCATTGAAAAGAGTACATGAGACCAAAGTAAATCAGAACAATTGTTTCATCAATGAAGAGGAAGAATAACAGTATCGAATTTTAAAGCAGCTGCCAATTCACGCATTGAAAAACCGTCATTACCCTAATTTACACTATATGTTATCCAGCACAACGTTTGTTCAAAACCAGTGCAACAGAGTAGGGGAAAAATTATAAAAAAATGCAATATAACCTTTCCGAAAATATTCATATAGGTAGTACCCATGAAAATCTAGTCATAAACATGCTGGATTTTTCATTAAGCCTGAATTTACACAACTTGGTGCAACTCCTAATGCAGTGGTTTTTTGCAAATATTGCAGTAAGGGTGCTTAGAAGTGAAATGTTCTTATTTATTATAAGATATGTCAATAGCAGAGTTCATAAACTTACCTTTATTATGTCTTATTAGAAATCCTGATGGAGAAATTCAATTAAATAGACAACATAAATATCACTATCAAATTCAAATGGCTCTCTCCAAGTTTACTATTGTCATTTTGTAATATGGTCTCCAACTGAATTATATCATGAAAAAATTATGTGTAACGAAGAATTTTGAAAATTTTACATGGAAAAGCAAGTTTTTCTCATAAAAACTTATAATTCCCGAGTTACTTTGCAATATTTTAGCAAACTTAACATGGTGTACATGTAAAGGCATTGATGATGGCCAACCAATGATAAAATGAAAACTGCAGTATTTCTTGGTTTCACTTTAAATGTGTGAATCTCTTAGAAGTACCCACTTACGAGGTACTTTATGGTTTTGTGAAGCTTGTTTTCCTTAGATATGGAATCTTTAATTTTTACTGTTCAAATAATTTTTTTGTTTGTAAATATTAAATTAATAATTTTTAAAATAAATAATTAAATTATCAATAAAACGTAAATATATAAAATTTGTTTCTCAATTTATTTTTTTAATGTTGACGTTATCTTTATTTTGTGGCATTTTGTATTCGAACATAATGTGGTATATAGTTGTGAATAAAACAAAGTCAAAATAAATGTTTTTTTTATTACAAATGTATCAAAATTATATGTTATAGAAATTGATTATCATATGTTAAGCAATAATAACAATATAATAATGGTGCAACTGTTTCCATTCGGTGAGTGTCTTTTAAAAATGTTTCAAATTTTAGAGCAAAATGCTTCTTTATTCATCAATTACAAATTCCAAAATAATAAAAGTACAATTTATTATGATACTTTGAAAATGAGAGAGAAGAATATGCTTTACGCTAAGTTTAAAAGAATAAGGAAAAAACAAGAATCAAATTATATTAACAGAACTGAATGTACGTACAAGTTGAGAGTATAACTAATAATGGCAAACTAAAAGCATATATTAAAGAAAGGAATAATTGTAGGACATATATTTATAGGTGCGAAACACAGGAATACTATTTGGTCTAGTAAATATTGTTCTTCGCCTACCATTTATTAATGTCATCGGAATAATTTA